AACTCTCAGACTGAAGAAGTCTCTTGGAGGAGAGACGAAACGTTTCATTAGAGAAGAACCCGTCCAGAAGACCTATACAATTTTTTTTTCTTTTTAAGTCATCAAAAGCTGCTCATTAAATCCTTTTATCTGTGTCTTAGCTTGGATTTTGGTMAAGATAGTGAATCCTCTCGATGAACAAGAAAGGCAACAACGTAAAAAAATAATATGCATATGAGTGTCTTACGCGCCAATGGACACAGACGACTTCACTCTGGGCCTCATGATGGCCTGTTGGGTGAAGATCATCTACAAAAGGTAAGAATGTTCAACTGTTAGCTGTACAACACACAAAGGGACAAATAAATAAAAATAAAAAACTCACAATTCTCTCATAGTAATCAGGAGTTTGAATCTGGAAACAAAGGTACATACTTTAAATTACAATTTATACAAACAATGCAGTGTAAAATCTGAACGCTAGCGGTCAAGCTAACAATAACAGAATATAAGCTAAAAACTAAAACTTGCAGAACAAAACGTAAATGTAGCAAAACAATAGCTAAAATCAGCAAATCTGATTTTAAAATAAAAAAACTGTAGCTTAAAGCAGCAAAATGTATACTAAATCTATCAAAACAGTTTAAAAAGCAAGGTATGTGCTAATGCTAAAATCAACAAAATGATGTCTAAATTTAGCAAAGCTGTAGCTAAAACCAGTTATACAGATGCTAATGCTAAAATAAGCAAAATCATAGATAAAATATGTCCAGCAAATGCTAAAATGAATGAAATTMTAACTAAAATTAACAAAGCAATAAATGAATAAATGAACAAAATAGTAGCTAACAGCTAAAAGTAGCAACTTGGTAGCTACATGCTAAAAGGACCATAAATACACAAAAATAAAGCAAGTATGCTGAAGCAGATTTTACAGAGATGTGCTAGATTTTATTTTAGAGGAAGTTAAGTATTTTGAAAAGTATAAAAGTTACAAAAAACTAAAGTTACAGCATCCCATCAAGCTTTTTTTTTGTTTGTTTTGTTTTGATAAGAACCATGGAAATTATCTGCAGAAAGGAAACGAAAGAGAAGAGAAAAATAAAAAGAAGAGAGGGAAGAAACAGATAGGACCAATATTAGAAACAGACACTGTAAACTTAAAACGAAAGCATTGTTTACTGCAGCTGCATTCATGCATTAAAGCTTCTTATTGAATATAAGCTGATTGGAAAGATTTATGCTCATTCGGGTCATGCGGGGACTGACCTGGTACCTCGTCTGCATTAGGATCTGTTCTTCGATCCAGTCCATAGTTCATGGCACTCACTGTCCCCGGCTGCAGACGCATTAAAAAAAGCCAATTAGGCATTGTGTGTTTACSAAATGACTAATTAATCGCAGCAGATGCCTGTTTTTTGATGCTAATCATCGGCTGATTATGTATAGCATTTTTTTCTGGCCATCTGGGACTCCAAGAAGCTAGTTATAAGTGGAAATGTATTTCTTGCGATTATTTCATTCACTTACACCTGCTCTTTCCATTTATACTGATTTTTTGTAAATATGATCCATCTGGCATGASTTTTCTACATTTTTTAATTTCAGTATTTTTTGCATTATCCTCTTCTCCGATCAGCTTGATTAGGATTAGTTCACTTCTTAAATTTATCTGAAGGGTCCACCAGTATATCGTATCGTATCGTATCATATCGTACAGGCCGTATATCAGGGTTATAAAACAATAAAAATGTTAAAATACCTAATAAACACAAATTTAAAATTATTTTATCACATTTTGTGAAATTTTTAACAAAACTGGTGCCAAACAGAACATCCCATTTAATGCCATTCATGTTAAAGAATGATTGACAGATGTTTTTTTCCCGCCCCCCAGGGTTTGCTGCTCATTGAGGCTTACTTTGTTCAGCCCAGGGTCAGCCCAAGGCCACAGGCTTTAGCCAATGAGGGTGGACGTACAATAACGTGCCTCGAGTGTATGTGGGTGTGGTTTGGAGTAGACTGAGTGTCTAAGGTGGCGAGCTAGATTAACATAAACGAGAAGAATTATTTAATTTGTTTTCCTTGATATTGTTGGAGGAAAAATGAAAGTGACGAGGTTGGGGGTGGATAGACCAAAGGAAATTCAAATCTAGCAAACGGAAAAGTGGCAAAACCGAGTGAAATGGTTTCAACGAAAGGTTGGCTAACGGCAGGTGTAGCTAACAAATCTCTTTTCTGATTTATTTCTTTTTTTCAAATTGGATGGTTCTGTGTTGGAATCAAATCTGCAGC